GTCGGGATCGGTTAGGGGCAACTTGGATGTGAGGGGTGCGAGGGAGAGGTGTTGGAGGTTCGTAGACGACCTATTTTTCCGGTTGGCATGTTGCTTGTACGCGACGTCCATTGTTTCCTGTGTGAACTTCTAGACGGTATTCTCGATGATATCAAAATAGTAGCAAGACAACATTCAGTAAGAACGTGATAGGTAGGTTTTAATGGACACTTCAATTGGATTATGTAGATACCTACATCAGAAGATCAAGAACTGGATGTCAAAAGTGAGAACCTGCAGAATCTGGAGCCACCTACAAAGTTCATACCCGAGAATTGCATGTGGATAGGTAATGACATGCAGATCCCCCCGGTTAACAGGGTAAAGCTTGGTAAAGCTTTGGCCATTCAGCATGAAACGGCATTTCTTAGCGAACCTTTCCGAGGTCTGTCGACCCCACCGCCGAGGTTTCCAAAGAGCACTGACCAAAACTTTAATCAGAAGGGGAATTTAATGCACAGTGTCTTTAACGTTGAAAAAGTTTGATCACACGGTCCAATAGTCGTCATACTTAACAAAACTCTACTTAATATCACAAACTTTCTACGAGCCGTACCGATATGTATCTGACAACTTAGGGCCTCATCGTACCAAACTAGGCATTATCAAGATGCGTAACCTACGCAACATTCGATATAATGCCTGGAAGTCCTCTGTCGATTTGAACGGCGAGGTCATCACTTCGTCGTGCTGGGACCCCGCCAAAGATGAGGTCTTGTGTACTTTTGGCCCAAGCGTGCATGATGGACAAATTCGTCTCGTGAGGATCTCGGAACATGTGAGGGCCTCCTCTATAGACATGTGAGTCTGCACCATGATTCGGGGAAATCCGATACTTTCTTTTTATACTGATAAATCTATCACTTAGCGAATGGCAAGAAGTTGCATCATGGAATGCGCCAAGTCCAACCCCAGATTTGGTAGTTGACAGGGTTGTAAGCTTGCATCACTTCGGCGATACCCTCACAACATGCCTAGTCCTCGAAGGCGGCGACATAGTTGTCGTCCAAGAATCAGACGGCGTGAATCCTCGGGATGGTGTTCATATCGAGATTATGGGCTCTATAGACGATGGCATCACAGCTGCAAGCTGGTCTCCAGATGAAGAACTGCTAGCTATCACCACCAAGGCGAACACAGCGGTCTTCATGAGTCGTAGTTTTGATGGCATAACTGACAATACCATGACTTCTGACGACCTGAAAGCGTCTAAGCATGTCTCCGTTGGCTGGGGTAAGAAGGAAACACAATTCCAAGGCAGGGGTGCCAAAGCCCTGCGAGACCCTACGATACCGGAAAAGGTAGATCAAGGTGTGCTCAGTCCTCACGATGACGGCAGTGTCGTCATTAGCTGGAGAGGAGACGGTGCATATGTCGCGATCAACTCGATCGAGGCAGGCATCCGCCGAGTTATTCGAGTATATTCTCGAGATGGCGTCCTTGACAGCGTAAGTGAACCCGTTGACGGCATGGAAGGTACTTTGACCTGGAGGCCGGCTGGGAATTTAATGGCTGGCATACAACGCTTCGCGGACCGTGTGGACGTCATCTTTTTTGAGAGAAACGGTCTGAGGCATGGCCAATTCTCTCTGAGAGCCCCTGAAGACAGAACACTTGCAAAGGACCGCATACAACTCGAATGGAACTCAGACTCTACCATCCTAGCGGTCACCCTTGATGACCGAATTCAACTCTGGACCATGGGCAACTACCATTGGTACCTGAAGCAAGAAATCTTCGTATGGGAGCGACCACTTTCTCTTACATGGCATCCTGAAAAACCACTACGTTTCGCATCAGTTGTCTCTGGTAAGTCAAATTGTATGTAAATTCTTTCCCTCTCGGTGCTAAGAGTGTTGTAGGTAAGCTACTGCTCGCAGAGTACATATTTGAGGTCACTCGCGGATCTCTTACGCCGCCATATGATCACGGCGCTGTTGCCGTCATCGACGGCAAGGCACTCAAAATCACCCCCTTTCGGACAGCCAATGTTCCTCCCCCCATGGCTTTGTTCGAGCTCCAGGCATCGTCTCCGATTATAGACGTGGCCTTCTCCCCAGCAAATACCTTCATGGCTGTACTCCACCAACTTGGAATAGATGTGTATGAGTGGAAGGTCAAAGGGCAGCGCTCTATACCTCCATCTCTAGTAGGCAATGTGACTTTTACCAAGAACAACCAAGATCAAGAGTGTATACTTTTACAAGTTGCTGTTACTGAAAATAGTGTCATCCATTGCCTGGGATTTGAGAGGGGGCCAGTGATCCATTCATACCCTTTTGATCGATCCACTGGCGAATCCTCATCCAACGCAAGCATATATGCTGGTTCAATGTTTGGCTTCGTACGCCTAACCCAAGCAGGCTCTACAGATGTGCTCATGCAAGACTGCCTGGGTAGACTTCATGGTGTTGTAAATCAGGAAGATGATTTGTACTCAACACGGCTTCCATCCCAACTTCCATGGAGTGAAGTTGTTGACCTTGCCGGCAATGTCATCGCTGTTGGGTTGTCTAGAAACGGTCATCTCTACGCAAACTCGCGCCTCCTACTCAAGAATTGCACATCATTTCTTGTCACGCCAGCTCATCTCATAGTCACAACTACTAACCATATGGTCAAATTTATCCACCTGGTCGATGTGGATAGTAAGTCTCGGAATTTTCTATCAAGGGTCTTCACAGCTAATTCCCGCTTGCAGACTTGGAGGTACCTCCGGATGATCCTGAAAGGGATGAAAGATGTCGAAGTATTGAGAGAGGAGCTCGACTTGTGACAGCGATGCCAACGAATATGAGTCTAGTTCTTCAAATGCCCCGAGGAAATTTAGAGACGATTTACCCTCGAGCTATGGTTGTGGCAGGAATTAGGCAACTGATCGATGCCAAAGAGTACGGGAAAGCGTACTCTCATTGTCGAACTCAACGAGTAGACATGAACATCCTCTATGATCACAGGCCTCAGCAATTCCTTACTAATGTTGGGCTCTTCCTCGATCAGCTTCAAGATGTCTCATACATCGATCTTTTCCTCTCGTCCTTACGGTAAGTCTGCTTGCATACTTTTTATGTTCCCGGATCTGACATCATGTAGCGACGAGGACGTCACACAGTCGATGTACAGAGACACCAGAGGTGTGAGAAATCAGGAGCTACCAGAGATAGCGTCCAACGAAGCCACCGCTAGTATCTTCCATGATTCTTCGAAAGCCAACACGATATGTGATGCAGTGCTATCTCATCTACAGTCGCACAAGACCAAGGACCACGGTACGCTGCAGAACATTATAACGGCCAATATCTGCAAAGTCCCTCCAGCATATGAAGATGGGCTATCAGTCATTATTGCTCTACTACAGGAGGACGGGCAACTTGCCGAGAGGGCTGTTGAACATATCTGCTTCCTCGCGGACGTTAACGTCTTATACGACGAAGCTTTGGGACTCTACAACTTAGCCCTAGCACTTTTGATTGCGCAGCAGTCACAAAGAGATCCTCGAGAATATCTTCCATTCATCCAGAACCTACACCAACTAATCGACCAAAGGCGGAGATTTGCCATCGACGACCATCTCGGTAGACACGAGAAGGCACTGGGTCATCTTCAGTCCTTGCAGGCGCACAAAGAGGCTCAAGACTATACTGTAAAACATGCATTATTCCCCGCAGCTTTGAAGCTTTATCGCTATGACCAGGCCAATCTTGCTATACTGACCGGCCTCTACGCATCATATCTCGAGTCTAAGTCGAAGTTCCGAGAAGCGGGCCTCACCTACGAATCCCTTCTCGACTACGCAGCAGCTACTAGGTGCTACCGTGCTGCCGGTGCCTCCTGCTGGCGCGAATGTCTCTTCACAGCACAGCAGCAAGAACCGGTCCTGTCGTCCGACGCCGTTGCCGATCTCGCGGCAACCCTTGCAGAGGCTCTATACGAAGCTAAAGACTACGCATCCGCCGCGGCGATTCATCTTGATCATCTTAATTCGCTCGAGAGCGCCATCCCTTGTCTATGCAAAGGCTACCTCTTCGCCGACGCGATGCGCTTCGCCGTCCAGCGCGGGCGCCCAGATCTCCTAGCAACGGCCGTCGACTCGGGCCTCGCGGACGCGCTGAGCAGCAGCACCGAGTTCTTCGCCGATTGCAAGGCGCAGCTGCGCGCACAGGTGCCCCGGATCCTGGACCTGCGCCGCAAGGCTGCCGAAGACCCCCTGGGCTTCTACGAAGGCGAGCGGGCGGGCGCCGGCGACATCCCAGACGACGTGTCGGTGGCGGCCAGCTCGCGCATCAGCACGAGCGCCAGCCTGTTTACGCGGTACACCGGGAAGGGGGGCGGCAGCGTGGGCACGGCCGGCACGGGCGTCAGCCGCGCCACGAGCAAGAACCGCAAGCGCGAGGAGAAGAAGCGCGCGCGCGGCCGCAAGGGCACCGTCTACGAGGAGGAGTACCTCGTCAACAGCGTGCGGCGCCTCGTCGAGCGCGTCGAGAGCTCCAAGGCCGATGCCGAGCGCCTCGTCTTCGGACTCGCGCGACGTGGCATGCACGAGCGCGCCCGGGCTCTGGAGAAGCTGGCCGCGGACGTGGTGGACGCGTGCAAGGTGGCTATCAAGGAGGTATTCGCGGCTGCTGCAGAGACGGCTGCGGAGGCGAAGGAGGGTGTCGACGAAGAGGAGTGGAGGCCCATGGGCGCGGACGCGGTTCTCGCGGAGAATCTGGAGGCGGCGTGGAGGTTGGAGAAACCGCCTGTGGTTACGGGACTGGAAAGGCTCTCTTTGCTGGGCTCGTAGTTCGAGGGGATGGGATAATACCTAGGTAGGGTGATAGACAAAATAGGGAATCATACACGTTTGACACTATGAGTATAAGTTTGGGTTTCTTGGTTCGATTGCGATATGATACGTTTATAATGGTTGGTAGATAAACCAACAACTAGCACGCAACGCCGCCGTGTCTTCGAAGGCTATCACTAGCATAGTGTAAATGGCTAACACACCTCGTCCTTACGAGGAGCTTGGGGTTCGATTCCCCGTGCTGGAGTCACAATTTTGCTCTTATCTCGCTGATTTGAGTGCATGCATTCGTTATATACATTGATGTTACATGTCTAGATGTTCTTTTTTATTTTACAGGCGCTCCTCCTACGAAGACGCCGGCGGAGGTTGTGTCTCCTGAGGCGTACTTTCCGAGGGAGGTGGTACATCCGGTGTTTGACTGCTACTACTGCTGCTGCTGCTAGGAGCATCCGGCAGAGCACGAGCATTCCTCGTCCTCTCCATATTCTTCGCCATGACCTCGCCGATCTTCTCCAGCATGTCGACGGTCAAGCGCGGCTTGCCCTTCTTCTTCTTGGCGGCGCGCTCGGCGCGGTGCAGCTCCTGCAGGGGCGTGCGCATGCTGTCCATGAGCTTGCGGCGGTCGTCCTTGGCGCGGGCCTCGGCGTCGAGGCGGGCGAGGTAGGCGGGGTCGTGGCGGGTGCGGAAGCGGCTGTACTTGCCGCGCAGCTCGTCGAGGACGGACTCGGGCATGGGCGGGCGCAGCAGGGTGGGCACGAAGGTCTTGTCCTCGACGTCGATGCGCAGCGTGTCGGCCTTGTAGTCCTTGCGCTCGGGCTCCTCCTTCCGCGGCCACGGGATCGAGATGTTCAGCCCCGGCACGACGCGCGACCACCGCCGCTTACCCGAGATCCGGTCGTGCAGGAACCCCCCGTGCACCAGCTGGTTGATGATCACGTCCCGCGTCACGCCCGAGGCGGCGTCTTTGACGGGGTGCACGAGCCGGATGCCGGAGATGGGGAGGGGCACCTCCATGTTGACGACGGGAGGGTCGTTTTCGCCGCGCAGTTCGGCTACGACTCGGATGTTGCTCTATCATACTATTGTGTCAGTGTTAGTCCCCACGAAGCAGTATAGGTGAGCACATACCTTATTCAACCCCTCCACCGTAACCTCGGCCTTCTCGTAGTCGATTTTGTTAATATGGCTAATACGCCCCTTGTCCGGGCCATCGACCAGCACCACCCGATCCCCCACCGCCAGGTTCAGGTTATAAGCGCCGCCGGCCCACTGGCACCGCCGGTTCCGCATGGCCAGTGTGATCTTGCCGTAGACCGAAAACCGCGCCTCGTGGATGGCGCCGCGCGCGTCGTGCCAGTCGCCGACGTCCTGCCTCGGGGCTAGCGGGCCCAGCTCCCAGTCGTCCCGCACCACCTGCTTCGCCTTGCTGAATTCTGTCTTGGCGAGGGTGAGCTGCTGCTGCTGCTCGTTCGACTGCTCTTTTTTTTGCTTCTTGTACCACTTCAAGTCTTTAGTTTTGGATCGCTTGGCGGCGACTCGCTCGGCGGTCGCCACGCGCCGGAGGATCTTCTGCATTTTCGAGTATGGAGGGGCTGTGTTGGTGCTTCTCACGGGCTCATGGCTGCGTTGTTGAAGCTATTCTCCAAAATTTTGGTAGCTTTTGCAAGGGTCGACGGCTATTGGCTGATGCGATTCGATTGGTTCAATTGGCCGGTGGTTAGCTCCGTTCCCCGTTGAATTTTTTGACCGGGGTTTCCACCCCGGAAAATCCAGACTCCGATGGGTTTCCCCTTGGGGCGCCCAGGCACGTGGTTCAGGTGGTTGTACATAATTATGTACCCCCTAAAATGCCAAGACTTGACCCCTTGCGAAATACGTATGTTGGTCTATCTGCATCACCTTGAGCTTCATGAGCTTACCTTATCGATGTTGAAGCTACATTAAGTAAGTAAAATGCATGTTCCATCTCAGCTTGGAAGATCATTGTCCGAGAAGAGGTTATGCGGCACCATGTGAGACAAGAAACTTGCCCCGGACTTGAATATACTACGTGAATCCAACATACCGGGTCACAAGTTACACATTATTCTGTTAGGTAGATTCGCAATCATCCGAAAACACAAGGTAACCTTACCTAGGTAGGTACGCACACATGCCATGCTGTTGTTGCTACATATCATGCGGGCTCCTGCACTATCCCGTACGGTCGTCGGTGAGGCTTACAGTCACTTACCCTGGTGATATCAGATCTTACGGCTTATCTAGGTAGATTAATTGCACTATTTCCTGTATTCTCTGAGCTTCAATCCCGTAACTGTTTTATATATGTAGCTAACGGCTAATGCACTGCTCATACGATTCCAGGTGCTTAGTGAAAGATCCCCTCAAGGTTTCGGCCGGTAATCCCTCCTCTCGGCCCAAGGTGGAGGTAAGCTAAAGATTTAGTGAGATGGGCTTGTTGATCTAAATTGAAACTACCCGTTTGACAAGCTAGCAAAGTCTCACAATATTTGAAGACGGAAGATGGCTGTATCTACTATTCATAAGTGCGTTTCATCGACATGTAGACCTGCTTCGTTGCGCTGGTTCTAATGAAGACCGTGATCGAAAACCAATCATATGTAGTAAAGTCGTCGTTGTTTGTTTGTACAGTGTCAAAGTTGAAGTATGCATCGAGTCAGTTCGTCGTCACAAGCGAACCAAGCCACAGGGACCAAGACCAGTCTGCCAGCCTCGGCCTAAACCTATTCTGTGAAACCAGTGCCGTATGTGTAATAAGTCGGGGCAACCAAAGAAATAAAAGGAATAGAGAGAGAGAAAAAAAGGAGAAATCAAAATACTGGCGGTACAGGTTGGTTCGCATGAAACAAAGTCACGAAGGCTCATGCTCATACGCGTATGCCATAGCCCCCCCACAACTTCGTATCAATATGGGGTTGTCAACAAAGAAGAGAAATAGATTGCGCGATAGGAGAGAGTGAATGTGGAATGACATGATACCCATGATACCTGACAATAACACTGAGCCACACTTTTTTTCAGCTGAAGAAGAAGCCCGGATCAGTGAATGGCTATTGCGGCGCCAGTCGGTGAGAGACGCAAGCTCCTTGAAGATCTGCTGGGTCGGTAGGTTTAGTTAACTCAAACGTGCCTAGCCCGGTCTCTTGCCGGAAGTAAGATCTTCGTTTCCTCCGTCAGGTAGGTAGGTCATATTCCTATTCATATATAATTGTGACTGTCAAGCTGCGAATTGGATATCGAGGACTGAGTCAGCTTCTGCCAACAAATCCGCAATTGTGAAATATGATGGATTGTGAGATGAACGGTTCAACGTCGACGGTTGTGACAGTGCACTGTGATAGCTTTCCCTGCACCTGAAGGCAACACTCATTTGCCGGCCTCAATAGTGCCTTGATAGCTCCCGTCTTTGCTGCAGGGTACAGCTGTAAGCTCTCCCGTTGGACATAGAAACAATTATAGCATGAACAAAATATGGCTGCATACGTATGAGGTAAAGGCATGGCATGCGGCAATACGAAGACGGATATATCAACGTGAGAGAGCTTCAGCAAGAATGACGCTGACGCACAGGCCCACGATGATACCTTGTCTCTGGAAGCTTTGGTATTGTAGGCGTGTTTTTGGTGGCAGGGTTGGTTGCCTCCTTCGATATCCGAGGCGCAGGGGCCAAGATTTGATCAGTACCTGTAGACTGTAGGTAAGGCCAGGCAGGCATTGCGAATTTGGGGATGTACCACCTAACAGAATAAGTGCACCAGCAAGCATCAGGGGAAAAGCCGGTAGACCAGTGCGAAAGCAGAACGTGCAACGATAGAAATTCAGGACTTTTTTGGTTCTTTCTCAGTCACTACCTAGGACTGGCCACCTAAAAGCTGCCTACAGATTCCTTAACAGGGTCCCACTAAACCCTGCCCTGTTAGGTAGCCTGTCCCTTATTTGTAGCGGGCGCCGCTCCTATCCATGCTAAAAACTAAAAGGTAGGTACTTACAGTGCAGTGCCTTCCTCGTGTATTGTACGGTTACCTTGTCGGTGCTACCTGCTACCTGCTACCTGTTAACCGCTGTCAATTGAGCAACAACCCACCTGGAACCCTTGGACCTGACCCTTCCAAACCTTTCCTCCTTCTACACAACCTTACACCTCCAGTCTTCTCCATCTCCAATCTCCTCCATCTTTCTTCCATCATCCAACATTCAAGGAAGAGAAAAGTCGACGACCCAAACCCAACGACCGAATCCTTCATCAAGCTCTTTGCCTTCTTTTTTAACTTTTCTTGCATATTCTCTGAATAATCGCGAGTGCAAGGCCCTCTTCCTTTCTTTGCCCCTAATCCAAACGTCGATTCCCCAACCATGGCTGAGATCCGCCGAAAGCTGGTCATCGTCGGTGACGGTGCCTGTGGTAAAACTTGCTTGTTGATGTAGGTCGACTACCACCAAAACAAACACCATCTCGTCCACCATGCTAATCCCGACCGCAGCGTCTTCTCCAAGGGAACCTTCCCCGAGGTAAGAGAATAATACCCGTCTCGTCGTCGTCGTCAATTTTCCCTCCCTTTTTCTCCAAGATGCGTCCACGTCATACCGAAACAAAGGAGCATCATTCAACTTGGACCTACTTCTGCCTCGTCGCTCATTGATATCATCACGAACATCCATCGCGTCCTCGGACAACAAAACCACCATTGCACGATGGCATTGTACTGATAAATTGTTTTTTTTCAATAGGTCTACGTCCCCACCGTCTTTGAGAACTACGTTGCCGATGTCGAGGTTGATGGCAAGCATGTCGAATTAGCCTTATGGGATACGGCTGGTCAGGAAGATTACGACCGTCTCCGACCTCTGTCCTACCCGGATTCCCACGTCATTCTGATCTGCTTTGCTGTCGATTCTCCCGATTCATTGGACAACGTTCAGGAGAAGGTCAGTCTCTTCCTTAATCTCGGGATAAGCAACCTGCTGACACGTGCTCTACCAACAGTGGATTTCCGAAGTTCTTCACTTCTGCCAAGGCCTGCCCATCATTCTCGTTGGCTGCAAGAAGGATCTGCGCTACGATCCCAAGACCATCGAGGAGCTCCGCAAGACCAGCCAGAAGCCCGTCTCCCCTGAGGAGGTAAGTTAATCGCATCTCAGCCTCGTCATATTATTAGTAGCATATTATCGGAGCACAAGGTGTTCATTATCCGCTGCCCTCAGCCTTACCATCTATTATTCCTA